AAATCAAAAACCAAAAATAAATAAAAAATAAGCCATTTAAAAATTAAAATTAAGATAAATATGATAAAATATAATAAAATATGTGATAAAATATAATATATTATTAGCAAAATAATTGATTATTATTTATTTATCAAAAACCAAAACCGAACCAATTTTAAACCAATTTATTACTAACCAAACCAATTGATTTTAATAATTTCAGTTCAGTTTCGATTTTTAAAATTAAAAAAAAAATTTTTTGATTATTTCAAAACCAATTTCGATTTTAATCAAAAACCGGTTTTGCCCACCCCTAATAGAGAGTAGAGCAACATGTTGCACAATACAATAACTCAAGGACTCCATGATCCAATAACAAAAAAACTAACTTATCTCTAAAAGCAAGGAACCTTATCTCCACTAACCAAAGACTAAGTAATAGATTTAGACTCTGTCAACTAATAAACTAAAACTACAAATTATTTTGTAGACACGTAAACAATAAATTGACACCTAAACAAAGATTTTAAATTTTTAGGGATAAAAATGAGTTTTTTAAGTAAAAAAAACTAAAAAAAAAATTATTAAAATAAAAAAACTAAAATAAGATTTCAACATCTAGAGGAATTAATCTTGACAAAACCCAATACTTAAAAAGTTTATTATTACTGTTTATGTGTCAATATAGGATAATGATATGTTTACCCAATGTTTCCACACCCTTCAGTTACACCCAACTCTTTCCGTTATTGTTTCCGTTAATTACATTAACTCCGTTACCATTACTTCTTCCTCTTTCTTTCTTTTTCTCTTTTTTTTCCTCTCTCTCCTCCATCATCGGGTTCTCTGGAGAACCCAGGTTTGGGTTCTCCAGAGAACCCGTTCGGTCCTAAGTACAGTCTTTTCCTTTTCTCTTTCCTTTCCTTTCTCCCTCTTACTGTTTCGATTGATGTTCTCTCTCTTGCAGATATGGAGTTGGGTTTGAAATGTTAGAATTTTTGGGAGAGAGAAAACAAATGGAACTTGAGATGTTAGAGAAATTCAACAACTTGAAATTTTTTATTGTTGCTTTAATGAAATTTTAATCATGGCCATTCGTTCTACAAACCCACGCCTCCAACTTCCCTTTTTTTATTTTATCTTCTTTTACTTGTTGCAACGAGATCAACTTTGACATTGCAACGAGATCAAGTCAGCGGCAACGAAATCCAGCCAGCAACTATGAGCGGCAACAAGAAACATCTAGCAACCATAATCGGCGATAAGAAGCAACTAGTCCGCGCCAGATCCATGTCGCCAACGGCTCAAGACAGAGCCGCAACCACAAAGGTGGCACCCACAAATCTGGTTTCCATCTTCAGAAACAAGAACCTTCAAGAAGAAATTAAACAAATTTTGAAGTGTAATCAGAGCTGCCATGCCGATCAAACATTTATCCCTCAGCAAAAATCTTTGATCTTAGGCCCAAATTTTATCATCCCCCACCGGTAGCCATAAATCCTCTTTCCCACAACCAAAAGATCATTCCCTCTCAGTAACGGAGTTAATGTAATTAACGGAAACAATAACGGAAAGAGTT